CAGCTATCGACTCGAAAAAAAAACACATATACTCCAATCATTTTTAGAAATTATGCTGCTGAGAAAAAAATGGCCCGCAGGTTCCAGACCACCGTAAGACGTCGCGTCACAAGCGCGTACAGCGTACACGGTTCGGAGCGTGAGCTGACACCGCGCGCGGCCAAAAAAGGACGAATAACTTTTTGTCAACCTGCGGGCCATTTTTTTTCTCAGCAGCATAATTTCGAGAAATGATTGGAGTATATGTGTTTTTTTTCTCGAGTCGATAGCTGGCGCAGAAGGCAATTATTTCCGAATTTGGTATAAAAAAAACAAAAAAAAATCGACCTAAATGAAAATAGGACAATTGAAAAAAATAACAAAGAATCTATGTCAAAACAAGATTCCAACGCTAGTTATATCGTTGGAATCGGATAATTAGTTCAGCCATAATGAATTTTTTTATTTTTTAATTATTAAAAACTTTGACTTTTAATATCATGAATATGTCAATTGAAAATTTTTTTTTACAAAATCCTTTAGGATTTGTGTTAGTGATGTAAAATACTATCAAAAAAATGTATCTACAAACAAAAACTAATTTTGACCTAATTCAGGTGGCCCGTTTGAGAAATTCTGACCCTATAATAAAAATATTTTTACAGAAAATTTGGGAGAATATTCAGGAGGTCATAGGAAAAATTCCCATACTTTTGTGGAAGATTTGCAAGATTTGTGTAATAGATACTTACCTATAGTCAACTTTTTATTAATACTCTGTTAAAAGTTTTGAGAAAACATTATTGCAAAAAGAAGTAGAGGCTGAATTTGTAAGTATATAAAGGGCGATTTTAAACCTGTTTAATAATGTTAATTTGTTTTTAAAACAGGGTGCTAAATAACAAGCGACAAATTATAATTTAATGATATTTGTTAGCCAAAATAAGAGTTTAATTTCTATATTTTTTTAAACTTTATACTGTTTTTTCAACTGGTACTTAAAAGATATAATAATTTAGCTAAATAACCAAGATGGATACACTTTTTTATTATAATTGTTGTGACAATTAATTTTATGCAAATTCCATATTTTTCATTATTTTTATATCTCTTAAGGTTGCAGGGTGCATTTGACTTGAATAAATAAAATCAAACAAATTATTATTTGTACCAAATATCATTTACATAACTACATAAAGTATAGTTGTTCTTTGTTTTGAAAACAAATCAATAAACAAAAATAATATTAAATTGTATTTTTTTTAGTTTCAGACGCCTCCAATTTTTGTTATATATAACAAAAATTGGAGGCGTCTCAGAGAAAGATGCCACAGTAAGAGTTTTAAAGAAAATCTTCTCAAATAATTTGGCAAAAGATTGCTCTTGGCTGGGGCTAAGAAACAACAATAAAATTCAAAATTTAAAATCTGTTGAAATATTGAAGGGTAAAAATGTAAACTTTATGGGATTTTTTATTAAATAAATTTTTTTAAGCTGCTGTGTGCACTTCGACAGACAAAAATTTTGAAGGCATAGTTTCCGAATGGTTCCGGCAGGCCAAACAAAGATTTGGTATACCCTATAGGGAAGCAAAAAACCCATGAAAAGAAGGTATATTAATATTAAACTCATGGGATTGCTTTATCTTTTTTACCATATATTTTTTAGCTTTGAAGTATTATAATACAGTATACTGTATTTGGGATTTTTTTTTGTTTGGAAAAACTTTTCGTTTGTTTTAAGAAGTTAGAAAGAAGAAATGATTTGTTTTTTTTTTTAATTAAAATAATTTTTAATAAACATTTAAACCAATTTGTTTTTTTTTTAATCTCTTTCAGAATCATTTATTTTTGTAATGTTTACTTATTATTTATGTAATATTTATTTATAATTTATTTAATATATTATCTAACTGGCATTAACAATTTCTTAGTTCTAATTTGGTATTATGGCAATTTTAAAATTTTGTTGATTTTTATTCAAAAAATTTGCCATAATACCAAGTTAGGGCTAAGTAATTTTTAATACCAGTAAGATAATATATTACATGAAATTATATTTATAAATATTTCATAAATAATATGTAAATATTGCAAATAGAATATAATTGTTTTATCACGTTTACATAACTATGATATGGCGCTGTAACATTACAGTTACATATCTATGATAAAACACTGTTACATCACAGATACATACCCAGGAAGGGGTCTTGAGGCGGACATAGGAGCATCGCCATTACATATAGGTGACATAGCTGTTGCATAGTAAGGAACAATTTTTAAGTAAATGTTATATCACTGTTACATAACTGATATGGCGCTGTAACATTACAGTTACATAACTATGATAAAACACTGTTACATCACAGTTACATACCCAGGAAGGCGTCTTGAGGCGGACATAGGAGCATTGCCATTACATATAGGTGACGTAGCTGTTGCATAGTAAGGAACAATTTTTATGTAAATGTTATATCACTGTGACATGATTTGGTTTGCTGGGGTGCCACAGGGCACTGTACTTGGTCCTATTCTTTTTAACTTATATATTAATGATATAAGTCATTATGTAAGGGATTGTAAATTGCATATTTTTGCAGATGATACAATGATCTATGTGACAGGTACTAATTTGGATTATATGTTTGAGTGTATTAATAATGATCTTAAGTTATTGTATTCTTGGCTCTGTGATAATAATTTATGTTTAAATTTTGGTAAATCCAAATATATGTTAATTGGTAAAAAATATGCTATTTCAAAACTTGGAAATGTTTTACATGATGTTGAAATAGACAATGTTTCAATTGAAAAAGTTAATGAAATTAAATATTTTGGAGTAAATATAGATCATAACCTAAGTTTTAAAAGTCATTCTTTGTTTATAATGAACAAAATGTCTAAAAAAATCAATTTTATGAGAAGAGTAGGTAACTACCTTAGTATGTCAACAAAAATTTTGTTATATAAGTCTATTATAGCACCACACTTGGACTATTGTTCCTCTATATTATTTCTTTTAAATAAAAATGAAAAAGATCAATTCCAACCCTATTAAAAATGTCCTATAGAACCCATATTGATCCAGATAAGGAAACTAATATGGATTTATATGGTTCTATATGTCCTATATGGAACGACCTGGTTTACACTTTGTAATCTATATGGTTTAATATGGAATTCCATTTTAAAATGTACAACTTAGGGATTTTTATATGGATTTATCTGGTTTCTGTTTTATGTGTCTTTCCATATAGGTTTCCCTATATGGTTGAATATGGAATTCCATTTTAAAATGTATATATATTTAAACGAAAATTGCATAAGAGACCATTAACCTATAAAGGGTTAAACCATCTAGATTCCCCTATATGGTTAAATATGGATCTATATGGTAATAATTTTTTTCACACCATATTGGGCCAGATAGAGCAATATGAACCTATATGGCAATCCATATAGAAATCACTTTTCTATATGGTTTTCCAGGTATGGAATTCTATCTGGTTCAATAGTGCAATGCCTGTTTCAAATTCCTATATTGAACCAGATAGAACCATATAGATTTTTATTTTGTGTTTCTATATGGCATTTTTAATAGGGAAGTTTTGCAAAACAAAGCTATGAGAACTATATTGCAGTGTAATAGATATACCCCTATTAATATTATGTTGAATGTTCTAAATTTTATGAATGTAAACCAAAGAATTGTTTACCGTACTCTTGATTTAATTTATAAAATAAAAAATAATATGACGCCATCATATTTATATAAAAAAATTAAATTTGTAAATAATATTCATGAACACAATACAAGAGCTGGAAATGATTTCTATATAAATACTGCAAACAGTTCCTTACTACATAAGACACTTTTTTATAATGGTCTTATATTATTTAATAACTTACCTGTGATAATAAAAAATTCCTCTAATTATGATAAATTTAAAAGTTCTTTGTCTCATTATGTTTATACAATCGTTTAATTTTAATTTATTTGTACACATTGTAGAAATTTATAGCTTTTGCTAATAAACGAATTATTTATTATTATATTGATTGAGGCTGTTTTAAGGCTGTCGTGTGAGTCAAATTTTCAACACCCACGCACATATGTGTCCACGCCAACCTCACTGCATAAAAATGTACTCATTGCATACTTTGGATGTACTCGAGGACACGTCAAAGTACTCGAGTACACGAAAAAGTACTCGAGTACACGGGAAAGTACGCGAGTACATTTTTGCAATCTTAAATGTATCAAGTACAAGTATAAGTACATTCAAATTAAAGTACTCGGGACTGAGTACCGAGTACACTGAAAGTACTTGGAGTACAGTGTTTGAGTACTTGTACTCGAGTACCGCACAGCTCTGACCACAGTATGAATTGACCATTCTTCTTCGATTCTTGATGCTATTTGAGCCTTTTTAACTGACGAGGCATTTTTATTTTCTACTGTCAGTTATAGTGACTTAAGTCAGTGGAAAGCCGGTTTTACGCAATAATGTTGACCGTTTTCTCTCATTCTAATTCTTGTACGCTTTTTTAATGAATACAACTGTACCTTAAATTAATGGAATTTTCTTTAAAAAAATATTTATAAATTTTGGCACATACTTACGTCAGATTGTATGAATTGTCATAGAGAAATAATCTAGACGTATATTACCATAGATAACAAAGTATATTACTCAACCTATAAATTTATGTCAAACTATGCTCATTAAGTTTTTTATTTAATTTTTCTTTTTGGAAAATAGTTTCATGCAAAATAATTAAAAATAAAACCCCTCGACCGCTATGCAGTCTCGTGATTTTATTAAATTATTTTGCATTCAACATTTTCCAACAAAAAACTACTGAGCCTAGTTTAACCGATTAAATTCATAGTTCTCATGATATAATATATGATTAAATTTTTTTTTAACCAGTATTGGGTCAAATTGGTACGCTTTTACTGGCCAAACTTTAACATGTGGTAATTTAAATAAAATAAAAAAAATAAAAGACATGTATAGAATTGCAACCTGGTTTAATGAAACTTAAAAGTCACAGAAAGTGTTTATAAATTATAATACTGTGGCAATGGAATAGTTTATTAATCAACTTCTTCAATAGTTGGTCCAGCGCCTCCAGTACCGGCTCCGGGGGCGGCGCCACCGGCTCCAGGGAAGCCGCCGGGCATTCCACCGGGTGGGGCGCCACCGGCCCCTTGGTACAACTTGGTGATGATTGGGTTGCAGATGTTCTCCAGCTCCTTTTGTTTGTGCTCGTACTCCTCCTTGTCGGCAAGTTGGTTGGCGTCCAACCAGGCGATGACTTCGTTGCATTTCTCCATGACGGTGGTCTTGTCGCTTTCGCTGATTTTATCCTTGATCTTGTCGTCTTCCATGGTGCTCTTGATGTTAAAGCAGTACGATTCGAGGGCGTTCTTGGCGGCAATGCAGCTCTTTTGCTTCTCGTCCTCGTTCCTGTACTTCTCGGCGTCGTTGACCATACGTTCAATGTCCTCCTTGCTGAGACGGCCTTTGTCGTTGGTGATGGTGATCTTGTTCTCCTTGTTGGTCGACTTCTCGATGGCCGTTACGTTCAAGATACCGTTGGCGTCAATGTCGAAGGTGACTTCGATCTGGGGTACGCCTCTTGGTGCTGGTGGAATGCCGGTCAATTCGAATTTTCCAAGCAAGTTGTTGTCCTTGGTCATGGCACGTTCACCTTCATACACCTGGATCAACACTCCGGGTTGGTTGTCAGAGTAGGTGGTGAAGGTTTGGGTTTGCTTGGTTGGAATGGTGGTGTTGCGCTTGATGAGAGCGGTCATTACGCCTCCAGCGGTCTCGATACCGAGAGACAACGGGGGTGACATCCAAAAGAAGCAAGTCTTGCACTTCCTCGGACTTGTCTCCGTGAAGGATGGCGGCTTGCACGGCGGCACCGTAAGCTACAGCCTCATCGGGATTGATGGATTTGTTCAATTCCTTTCCGTTGAAAAAGTCTTGAAGGAGTTTTTGTACTTTTGGGATACGAGTGGATCCGCCTACCAATACGATGTCATGGACTTGAGCTTTGTCCATTTTAGCGTCACGAATGGATTTTTCTACTGGCTCCATGGTGGAACGGAACAAGTCGGCGTTGAGTTCCTCGAACCTGGCCCTGGTGATGGAGGTGTAGAAATCGATACCTTCGAAGAGGGAATCGATTTCGATACTGGCCTGGGTTGAGGAAGAGAGGGTTCTCTTCGCCCTTTCGCAAGAGGTTCTCAAACGTCTGAGGGCACGTTTGTTGGTGGTCAAGTCTTTCTTGTATTTACGTTTGAATTCTTGTACAAAATGGTTCACCATTCTGTTGTCGAAATCTTCACCACCCAAGTGAGTGTCACCGGCGGTGGATTTCACCTCAAAGATACCGTCTTCAATGGTCAAGATGGACACATCAAAGGTACCGCCACCCAAATCAAAAATGAGTACGTTCCTCTCGCCCTGTCCCTTTTTGTCGAGACCGTAGGCGATGGCGGCGGCAGTCGGTTCGTTGATGATACGCAATACTTGCAAACCGGAAATGGTACCGGCATCTTTGGTAGCTTGACGTTGAGAATCGTTAAAGTAAGCAGGTACAGTGATTACGGCATTCGTGACCGCTTTACCAAGGTAGGCTTCTGCAGTTTCCTTCATTTTAGTTAAAACCATTGAACTGACTTCTTCGGGGTAGAAAGTCTTTGCTTCCCCTTTGTAGTCTACTTTAATCTTTGGTTTGCCGCCATCATTCAATACTTCAAAGGGCCAATGTTTCATATCGCCCTGGATGGCAGTGTCATCAAAACGACGCCCAATAAGACGTTTGGCATCTGAAATAAAACCAGATTCCGTTAGTACAAAGAAACAAATATGAAGTGATAACAATTTTGATTTAAAAAATTTCAGTTATTTAGATAATCATAATGTAGCTCATAAACTCCAGTCTGGCATGACATTTTATAATATCATCATGTTGAGAAAAACAGGCCCACAAAATTATATATTATATACTGCAGGGCTCCCAGCAGTCCATGTTTCGAAAAATAGTGACTTAAGAGACTAATAATAAAAAATAAACGACCAAATATAGACCAAATTAATTACCGAAATAACTATAAAATGGAGGTATACTTTTTTTTTGGGATAAAAGATCTAAATTTAAATTTAAAATACATAGAGATAACTTGAAATTATAAATTTTTATTGAATTAAATTTAACAAGTAACCATATCTGTTATAAAATACATAAATAACAAAAAAAATATTAAATTCTGTAATAAATTATAACTTATAATAAATATAAAAAATTGCTTTAGGGGGGCCTAGCGAACGGAAACTTTAAACGTAAACGAAACCCTAGACCCAACCAGGAACCTGGACGGCGGGAACTTTAAATGTAAACTGCAAAGTTTTCGAATGTTTCACTTGGTTTACTGTGGTTTCGATATTTATAAAACTGTGAATATGTATATTTAAAAAAATATGTTTCTTTAATGGTTGATTTTAACAGGAAATATAGACTTTATGGACTTTAGGTAAAAAAATAGACTTTTATAGACTTCCGACAAAAATATAGACAAGTCTTTAAAAAAACTACCTGCTGGGAGCCCTGATATACTGGTTAAATTAAATTAAAAAACATTAAAAAAAAGACATATTATAGTTACATACAGGGTGGCCCATTGAAAACAGTACAGCAAGATTTACTGCTTGTATGTGAAAATAAATAAAATTTCAGACCTGTATACTTTTGGTTTCAAGGGGGCATATTTACACATTATTATCAATGTAACTTCAACCCCCTAGCGACGGCGACATTCGCCCTTATTTTTTCAAATGGAAAAGGGGGAAATGGAATTCCGAACATTTTACTGGACCGCTATTTACAAATATCGTAAACCAAAAAAATTGTTTAAATATGTCCCCCTGTAAACAAAAGTATACGGGTCCGAAGATTTTTTATTATTTTCACATCCAAAGCTGTAAACCTTGCTGGACTATTTTTTATGGCTACCCTGTAATTAATTTGTTTATTTGGACTTAGATGCATGTTAATTTAGGGTAGTATTCTTAACATCGGTAATTGTTTAAGAAATATACGGGGTTTCCCAAAAGTCAACGATATCCTTTGAGGACCAATAGGTCAGCTCATGACTAATCAGAATATCAAAACATTACCTAGTAAAAAATCATTAGTTTTTAAGATATTCGAATTTTTATTAATTTTGTGAAACTTGACACCCAAGATCAGTTTTTCAAGTGCCATAGCTTCATTCTTAGATTATATTTTATGTTGCACAACCCTGAATAGGCCTGCTATTAATTACAATTCAAAATTAAACTAATAGTAGATTTTTTAGCTGTGGCACTCCAAAAACCGATCCAAGGTGTCAAGTTTTACAAAATTCATAAAATTGACTATGTCTCAAAAACTAACGATTTTTTAGTAAGGTCGTGTTTTGATTTTTTGTTTATTAGGATATCGTTGACTTTTGGGACACCCTGTATACATATATAATATATATATATATATTATATATGTATATATATTTAGTCAATTATTATAATTTGTAAAATTATTAATAACTAGATGTTTTCTTTCATTTAACATGAACTCCAAGTAGAATTTCTATATTGGGCTAAACTGTAAAAAGTTCACTTTTTTAATATTACGTTTCATATTATTAGTCAACAATTTTCCGCTCTTTTTAATGGTAAAGAGGATCAATTCCTGGCTTAATTAGTTTTTGATATAGAAGGATGCTTTAAAATTTATAACAAATAACAACCTTGTTAACATAATACAATTTTTAAAAACAAAAAACAGGCAACTTGCAGTTTCTGCAGTACTTGTACCTCTATTTTGTAAAAAAAAAAGTATCTGGTTTGGAGTACAGATGTGTATTTTCTCCAACTCGAACTTTTTTGCTGTTTTCTTCAAATTTAAGTTACGATATTACTGGATGTTATAGATAGTGGTCCACGGTAAAATAACGTTTTATCAGACAAAGTGACAAAAATAAGGTTCTGGTACTTGGGACCCATAATAAGGGGGCAACTCATATACATATATGGGAGGGAAACCTTGCAAAAATGTGTTTAGTTTGAATGTATGTAGGCAACCAAGATGGCGCAGTATGTAGGTAGGCAACTAAGATTACAACCGTGAAATTAATTATGTATATTCTATTAAAATACCAAGGATACTTGTAACAGAATACTCTGCTTTTTTGTGACAAAATCGTTTTCTCCAATAGTCATGTTTCTTTTACAAAAGATCAAATTCAACAAATTGTGAATGGTCAGACAAAAAATCGAGTATTTAAACCACACCCACCTAGGAATCTATACATCAAATTTTATACATTTTAATTTTACAAGTAATAGGTAATGGTCCAAGGATATTTTGTCAAAGTAAACTTGGTGTAACATAAAATATTTAATTTTTTAAAACCCGTTGGTTCTCCACCTTTTATAAAATTTGTGGGCTCGATTAATAACAATAAAATACAGCATGCTTTAAAACTCTGAAAACATAATTTTATTGTTTAAGACAAAGGAACAAAAAATATATTTGTTCTCAATATAACGTTTTATATGTCAAAAAACTTTTTTTTAATGTACAAACATAATTAAAATTTTTAAAGTTATAAAAATTATTAACAAAATTTAAAATTTGTTGGTAATTTTTTAATAGTATGTATAATATACTAAATATTATTGTAACGAGTAGTAAAACATGCTGTACATCTTTTTAAACAGCAAAATACTTTTATTTATTTAATATTCCTTACCAAAAATTGTGTTATTGGGGTTCATTGCTACTTGGTTCTTAGCAGCATCTCCGATAAGACGTTCTGTGTCTGTGAAGGCAACATATGAGGGTGTGGTTCTGTTTCCCTGATCGTTGGCAATAATTTCAACTTTTCCATGTTGGAAAACGCCAACGCATGAATAGGTGGTACCCAAATCAATACCTACAGCAGGTGCCTTTGCTGCCATCTGAAAATAATTAATACAAAAGTTACATGATGAACTGAACTGAATTATCTGGATTTCTCGACTACTCATATATTTTAATTAAAAACTGAAATGAATTTAATAATGCATATAAAGATTATTTCCAGAATAGGAAATTTATGAGTAAGGATCGTGAGTAATGACGTAGGTACTAACGTTTAGATTATCTTAATCTTCCGGTAAAAGACCTTCAATGAAGGTTATGTTCAAACACGTGTATCAAAAAATACTTTAAATAATACAAAATTGATGTTGAAAAAACACAAATAAACTGACAAACGTCAATACCATGACAAAAAACGTTAATACAGTACAAAGATCGAATTATTGATCGGGAAATTAACCGGTAGAATGACCGATTTTAGACTTCATTTTTTATAAAAACAATTTTCTTAATATAATAGATAATAAACTAAACATATTTCTTACCTTTTATTAATTTATCTAGGTTTTTAACACTTAAAACTATCACACAGCTCTGCGAACACAGAAACTGATTGTAACCAAAGCAAAGGAAATTGCAAAATGGACGATTTTGTCCGGATGCAGGTTTTATACAAGGGACAAAAACTTCTAGAATATTCCGTCAGTCGTCCAATCAGATCGGCGATTTCCAGCGATGCCGACTTCCTATTGCTTGAAATATATAGCCTCAAACCAAATGCAATGTCACCTTTTATTATTTTAATTATAGCTAAAATAACACATGATATTAAAAACAATTTATTTTATAAATATAACAATGATTTTTTACATATAGTATTGCAAAAAAACTCTTTAACAATGGGGTATTAAGAAAGTTAATTTTGGCGGGAAAAGCACATAATTTAAACGAGTTATAATAACGATTCTTTATATAAATCGATTTTATTTCATATTTTACTATAGATAAAAAAAGTATATATACTTTTTACTGAATAAGTGTTATTTTTTAGCAATTTTAATAACGGTTGCATCCAAAATTTGTTTTTTTAATCCGATAATACTGTTCTATGGAAAATTTTATAAAAGAGCGCGAACCTATTGGCGCGCAAATGGCTAGAATATCGTAGACTTCCAAAGGGATGTTCTAAATTCTTCTAGAAAATTAAAATTTTTTATATTTCATGATATTTAGTAATGATTCATAGTTATTATTGTTAGTATAGAGTCATAAATTTTTATTAAAATTAATAATGACAGTAGGTATTTTTAGGTAGAGAGGCTGGTGGATTTTATGTATTGTACCTATACCAATATCTCAGTTATTAGCTTAGAAGAAAAAACAACAGGAAGGAGTCTTGTCATTCTTTAGCCGTACTAAAATTGCGTCGGAAGTCGGCCATTTGCAAGCACCAAATTTTGACACATATGTGTCAAAATTTGTGATGCTATATTTGTCAAAGTTGAATGTTTTATGTGTTTGTCGGTGTTTTATGTTGTTTTTCTGCTTAAATTAACTTTAAATAAGCGTTTCATTGTTTCTAGACAATATTGTATTTGATATATTCTCTTTTAAGTGTAAATATTTAATGTTTAAGATATAAATATTAGTGTTTAAGGTGTAAAAACAAATTATGGTTAGTTGTGCAGCTTGTGGTTGCTCCTTGAGCACAAAAATTAAAAATATTCATTTACATTTCATAGGTGAGTATTTTGGTTAACGTTTAATTTATTTACTTATTGTATATTTTAAAATAATTAGTTGTAAATATTAAACATAAATCAATGTCAAATAACGTAACCTTAGAACATAACCATAACCTAAGAACGTCACCATCATAGAAAAAACCATAGGCGTATCATATTTTCTGATACTAACCTAATTATTATAAAAATTAAACTTCAATTGTATTTACTACGCCACTGTCAAACGGAAACAACTATCCGCCATATTGAAGCACCACTTTGGACCCAAGGTCATTTATTAAATGCTCCTTCCTGTTGTTTTTTCTTCTAAGGTTATTAGACATGGGACCCACACCAAATTTATAATAGTTTATAAGTACATTAAATAAACAAGTTCGGCCCCTGTTGCCTCACCCGCCTCCTATTTGAGATAATTCAAATTAATTAGGTTAAATTTGACAAGAATTTCGTTTTGACTTTATAATAACTTTTGATTCAATGAATTTAGCCAAAAATGTTAAGAGGCTTTTTTTGTAAAGCATTTGATTTCACATAAGAAAATTAATCGGTTTTTTTATGGGTACTGATTTTTACATAAATTTTAAAATTCCAAAGTTAAAAGATCAAAATGTAAAACTATACCAATGTTTAGGGCATGATTTTAAGGAAACGGTTCATCTGACAAAAAAATTTATTTAATCTTTTTTGTAGAGCATTTAATTTTCTTAAAAAAATTATTTAAGTAAATTTTGTTAAACTCAATGGTTTGGGAGTTCTGAGACAAAAACTTGATGATAGAAAAAATAATTAAAATTGCGATGATAGACCTCTTAATATTAATATTAGGGACTCAAACTTTCACAATAATTTTTCGCTCCAAACCATATTTTCGATATACCTACTTTAAAAAAAATAGTTGATTTTTTTTGGCCCAGTCTAATATACAGCTGGACCACCCTAGGGTGGTCCAGGTTATAGTAGCAATAATTCACCATTCGATAGTCCATCGAAAAATAAGTCGATATGCATGGTAATTTTTTTCTCCAAAACCCCTCCTAAGGGAGATAGAGCCCTTGAAAGTTGAGTTTTAAAAATCTTTTTTTTGCCATAACTCTCAGGAAATAAAAGCGTTTTTGACCAAATTTGGTACAAGTACTTATGAAATAGGTACTCGTTACCTGACGTAAGTAACTTTTGTCAAAATTGTCCAGTGACGTAGATACAGGGGGTTTGTTTCACTTTTTCCACCCCATTTTTTACGCCACTGGATATTGGTTTAAATTGACCTATTTTTCTAATTCCTTGTTCAATTTTGAGAAAAAAAGCCACTCCTGTCAAATTTTTATTTAAGGCTTTGTTTACGAGATAATTGAGTTTAAAAAAAAACATACAGTCCTGCAAAGTTCAGTTTTAAATATCTTTTTTTTTGTCATAACTCTAACTCTAAGATCGGTAAAGCGTTTTTCACCAACTTTGATACAAGTACTTATGAAGTACTCGTTACTTGACCCAAGTAACTTTTGTCAAAATTGTCCATTGGCGTACATACAGGGGTTGTTTCACTTTTTCCGCCCAGGATTTCACTGAAAAATAACTCATTGCATTGTTTTATTTTCTTCAAAACTTCCTCAGAAAAGACATAAAGCCCTTTAAAATTCAATTTTAAGATTTATCTTTTTTTTTATCTCATATCGTTTAAGAATATTTCATTAAATTTGGTATAAGTAGGTATTTAAAATAGGTAATTTAAAATTATCAAGTGGCCTGATGGGCTTTATCCAATAAAATTAGGGCGGCCCCACTCTAGTATGAACTGTCAGTCTTAAACAACTGAAATAGCTGTCAGAGTGTTAATAAAGGTTTTCTATTAATTTTTATAGTCTGTTAAAATATTTTAGAGTTAATACAAGTATCCTGTAATCATAAATATGCCTTTTCTATTCACGAACCAAGAATACGCCGATATTCACTTCATTTATGGATTTTGTGATGGAAACGCGTTGCAAGCAGTTCAAGAATATCAAAGGCGTGAAATCCTGGGCGGAAAAAGTGAAACAACCCCTGTATCTACGCCAATGGACAATTTTGACAAAAGTTACTTGGGTCAAGTAACGAGTATCTATAGGCGTAAATATATTTACTAAGTACATGTATCAAAGTTGGTAAAAAACGCTTTAGCGATCTTAGAGTTACAGTCATGACAAAAAAAGGATATTTAAAACTGAACTTTGCAGTAGGTACTGTATTTTTTTTTAACTCAATTATCTCGTAAACAAAGCCTTAAATAAAAATTTGACAAGAGTGGCTTTTTTTCTCAAAATTGAACAAGGAATTAGAAAAATAGGTCAATTTAAACCAATATCCAGTGGCGTAAAAAATGGGGTGGAAAAAGAGGAACAACCCCCCTGTATCTACGTCACTGAACAATTTTGACAAAAGTTACTTACGTCAGGTAACGAGTACCTATTTCTTAAGTACTTGTACCAAATTTGGTCAAAAACGCTTTTATTTCCTGAGAGTTATGGCAAAAAAAAGATTTTTAAAACTCAACTTTGAAGGGCTGTATCTCCCTTAGGAGGGGTTTTGGAGAAAAAAATTACCATGCATGTCGACTTATTTTTCGATGGACTATCGAATGGTGAATTATTGCTACTATAACCTGGACCACCCTGTATATAATATATAGCATGGTACACCTGTTCTATGACTCTGGTAGAAAATAGTACATCCGTTGGATCAAGGCGAGTAGCCTTTTTCGTGTAATTTAACTATTAAGCCCGCTGCACAACAGCCCGATAACGAGAACGGGAACCTAAATGGTTAAGGTGGGAGAAACTTAGCAAGTCGGGGTCTTAATCTATCTTTTGATCTATCAACAGTGATTTCTTAGTCTCTCCCACCTGTTCAGATTACCGTTCCCGTTACCGGGCTATTGTGCAGCTGCACAATAGCCCATCGTAGGAGACAGAATCGAATGCCTTAGCGACACGTCGCAACGTCCAAGAGGACTTTAACTGAATACCCTGCTGAATACAAAGACAGTCTCTGACTGAATATCTGTACTACAGATTCTGTAGCCTATCGGTATTTATAGAAGTAAGCAAGCGTGCGTTCTTAAGCAGCGGCGAGATGTATCCCTATTATATTTGTTTATAAAGTTCCCAAGCAGCATTTTAAGTTTAAATAACTACAAATTTACCACTAAGTCAACTTTAAAGTATTTTTAAAGGTTACCAAAACGGTTTTATAACGGTATAGATACGAAAAGTTACCAAATTTGGGGAATGGTTTATTTCGTTATTTTAACTAGATAATGACCTTTTTGATCTACCAAGAGAATAGCGTAATAAAAACAATATAAATACCACAAATTTACATAAAAATAACGCTTTAATTATAGTATACGAAGTCAATTAAAACCACAGACACAGGTCTGTGATTGAAACAGTACGAAATATAGGGTGCAATCAATAAAGTGCATCACGCATTAATATGGTATAAAGTAAAACAACGAAATATACCTATGTTGACCTATAGGACTATAGTCTCGTATAAGGATTAACTTAAAAACAATGCTTTTTATGTATTTTTTTAGAATTAACGTGGACTTGATGCAGACTTGTCATAAATTAGGCCGATGCTATTGGTCATTGTCATATTCTTATTGGTCGATTACTTCCCTAGATACAAATGCATAATTTCGGAGAAATAATTTCGCACAAGTGGCACGAGACAGTGGTGTAGCATCGATTGTCGATATTAGGTTTCAATTATTATATATTATTTTTATTATACATCTTCGTTATTTTTTATTGTACTTGTGTGTAGTTTTGAGTTTATATATTATTTTGTCTTTAAAATGGTAGGTATACAGTAAAAACTGCGCACCTTAAATCATACGTTTATTTGTTCAATAAAAAATATTATAAAGACAATAAAACAATTACAC